CTGGGGATGTGCCTGCAACCAAGGTACATGCCCTTGACCGGAATCGAACCCGGGACCTTTCAGTCCGCAGGCCGATGCTCTATCCACTGAGCCAAACCGGTCAGGGCTAGAACATTTTCATTCCCCCCAAGAGAAACTCTCTTCCCATTTGGTCTCACTCCCCCTCAGTCCCCCACTAATCAACTTTCTCTCTCTATAAATTCATCTTTTCTGGACATTTCATATATGTTTGTGTTTTAGAGACACTGATAGGCCAGAGGTTTGAAGACCCCATTCAGCCCGTGGACAGGTTTGTTTGGCCGTCATAGTGATTTTAAAATGTTTAGGTTAGTTTTGAACATTTTTGAATTGGGAGAGTTTGCATAAATGTCTGGACCATCATTTGTCTTGAACAAAGCAGGTTTGGCACATTCCTGCCTGGAACAGTCCGCTGCAGCCAAGTAGCAGCCACCCTCTGTAGATGGGCCCGGGTCTCCTGTTTGCCACAGTCCCCACCCCTCCCTGGTGTCTCCCTGCCAGAGCGTCAGCTGCCTGCTTGTGCTGCTGTGTTTCCTAGAGAGTCAGAGGTCTCGATCAGAAGCAGGAAACGGAAAGCAAGCCGTGTGCTGGACACGCTTCGGCAGCAGGGCCCGCTCCCCTGTGCTCATCTCCTGCCTGGCTTCAGAGTCCCTCTGAGTTCGGACACCCTGCTAGGGTCCAGGTTACAATCATCTCTGATAGGGATATAGCATCTCACCGAGAGTGACCCAGAAACATTACTTGACCCGCCTCAGCTTTCATCTCAAGACAGAGAGAGTCTGAGGATTGTTCTCCTCCAGTTTTCAAATGGGGAGACTGAGGCACAGAGCTGGTCAGAGATGTGGTTGGGACCACACAGCAGTCCAGGCTGCTGCTCTCAGTGGACTCCTCCAGGAGAGTGCGTTTCTTCTTCCTCCTTTCCTTGCTCACTCCTGTCCTCCCTCCCTCCCTCCCTCCCTCCTTTCCTGCAGTGAATATCCATTGAGCACTGCATTAGTGATCGTCAAGTAACAAACTACCCCAAACTTAAGTAGCTGAAAGCAATGACCATTTATGGTGCATGATTTGCAGGCTGATGGGCTCATTCGAGTGGTTCTGCTCCCATGGTGTCGGCTGAGCCTACCTGCGGGGCTTCATCTGGCTGGAGGCCTGGCCACCTCGGAAGGTCAGCACGGCCTCACTTATACATCGGGCATTGCTGGGGTCCAGCCCCAGCGGTGTGGACGGAGTCGGCCAAGAATGTTTTACATGGAGACAGCGTTCAGAACTCTCTAGCTCTCTTCAGTCTCCATGGATCTTCCTGATCCTGGCTGAGGCCACAGAGAAATATCCTGAAGCAAACTGAGCCTTTATTTTATAGTCAGAGGTATACAAGGTAGTGGTTACCAAAGTTACACTGGTCTTGGGAGTTTCACTTGTTTATACTGTTCTTGTGAGTTTCACTTGTTTACACTGTTCTTGTGAGTTTCACTTGTTTTTGTTCTTGTTGCACTTCCCTCAGCCCATTAGCTTCCCAGGTAAGATCTAGGGAGCATCATAAGGTCAAGCCTAATTATGCTAAGAGGACTGTGCCCTCTAAGCTGGGACTTGTTTGTGACTTTGCCAACAGGTCAGTCCCAGGCTTAACCCTATACCGGCCCCCCTCCACGTGGCTTCTCCACAGAGTTGTCTGGACCTCTTCACATGGCCGTTGTCTTCAAGGAGAGTGACTCAGATGCTGCAAAGTCTCTTGAGGCCTAGACTCAGAAGTCACAGAGCATTGCTTCTAGCACATTCTATCGGTCAAAGCAAGTCATAGGCCCGGCCAGATTGAGGGGTGGGGGGGAATGGATCCCACCGCTTCATGGGCAGAGTCATGTATGTGGGATGGAGGGAGGTGGAGGACCAGCTTTGGAAGCACAAGCACCTACTATGTGCCAGGAGTTGTTCTAGGCCCTGGGAATACAAAGGGGAATCAAATAGACTAACACCCCTGCCCTCCAGGAGCTTTTATTCCGATGGAGGAAAATGAAAGGAAAACAAATAAAATATATAGTTTGGTGGTAAAAGTAAAGAGAAATAAACTGGGGCAGGATAGGGCATGGTAGGCGAGTTGCGAGGTCAGGGGAGGCCTCATTGAAGAGAGACATTTGAGCAAAGGAAGCATGGGATGAGCTTCACCAGTGAAGGGAACATCAGGTGCAAAGGCCCTGGGGTGAGGACATGGTGATGTGGTTGGTGGGGAGTGAGCAGCAGGTGATGAGGTTGGAGAGGAGGTGGGGTCCAGGTGGTATAGGGAAAGGGAGTTCTATTTGACATTACTGAGTGAGGTGGAAAAGAGGAGAGGATTTTTTTTAAACTAAGACAAAATTCATACAACATAAATCTGACCATTTAAAGTATGTCATTCAGTGTTCTTTAGTATATTCACTGTGTTGTACAAACATCACCTAATTCCAGAACATTTCCATCATCGCCGAAGGAAACCCCATAACCATTCCCTGTTTCCCCTTCCTCGCATCCCTTGGGGGAGACAACCAGCAATATACTTCCTGTCTGTGGATTTGCCCCTTTGGACATTCACATCAAAGGAATCATGTACCAGTGGCTTTTGTGTGGCTGCTTTCATGCGGCGTATTTTCCAGGCTCGTCCACGTTGTGGCGTATAGCAGGACCTCGCTCCTTCCTACGGCTGAATACTATTCCACCGTGTGGATGGAACACGTTTTCTTTGTCCATTCATCAGTTGATGGACGTGAGTTATTTCCACTTTTTGGCTGTTAAGAACAGTGTCCATGTTTTTGTAACAGCATATGTTTTGGGGGTGTTTGGATATCCTTTGGGATGTATTGCTGGATCATAGGGCACCTCTATGTTTAACCTTTTGAGGAACTGCCAGACTGGTTTCCAACGCTGCTGCACAAATTCACGACCCCACCAGCAGGGTCTGAGGAAGGTCCCTGGTGCTCCACATCCTCGCCAACACGTACTGTTTTCCATTTTGGGGTTGTAGCCATCCTAGCAGCTGCGAAAGGGCAGGTGGAAGATTCTGAGCTGAGGAGACTTTGGGTTTAACAGGATCTTTCAGGGGAGTAGATTGAAGGGGAGCAGGAGGGGAGGCAGGGGACCTGTGAGCAGACTACTGCACTAGTCCCAGCAAGAGAGGACAGTGCCTTGTGCCAGGGTGGTGGCGAGGGAGATGGGGAGAAGCGGTCGGATTTGGGATACATTTTTTAAGGAAGAACCGAGAGGATTTGTGTATAGATTGGATGGGATGAGGGGAGAGAAAGGAAGATGAGTCAAGGATGCCCCCCGTTATCTGAGCAACTGGACAGTGGCGTTTCCATTTGTTGCGTTAGAGAAGACCATAGGTGGAGGGTCTTCTTGTGTTTTTTTTTTTTTTATATGCCAGTCACTTGGTAGGCAGGAGCCGGCCCCTTTTCGTTTGTGTGTGTGTGTGTGTGTGTGTGTGTGTGTGTTTTGTTGCCAACCCAGCTGGGAAGTTTCGATTGGCACTTTGGGAGGAGGGGTGTGTGGAAGAAGAAAGCAAATGCTATGCTTCACACATGTTAAAATAAGTGTCCACTGGCCGTGCCCTGAATGTTACTTAAAGTGAGCCATTTGCGTCCTTCCCCTCGGAGCAGGACAATGTGTGCCCGGGGAGCTACAAAGGACGGCGAGGGCATTCATCCTGATTACGGGCCGCTTCAAAGGGTGTGTGGGCTGCAGCCTGCAGGACTCTGGTTTCTGAGGCCACTTAGGGGATTATCTGGAGAGAAAATGGTCCCGTGAATGATTTGTGGGCCTGTGGGGTGCTAATTCTGAGCTCCTTCCTGTGGGTTGGGAACGTCTTGGGGCTTGTTCCTCCCTTAGCCCACCAGACAGTCAGCAAACGCTTTCTGGGCTGCCTCCTGCTTTGGGGCACCGCCCTAAGCGCCAGGAGGTGGGCGGGGAGACGATAGCTGACAGGTAGCAATGAAGGGGACCCATTTCCCTCTCCCCCAGGAACATCGTGGTGGCTAGACGTCAGCTCTGGAGTCAGTGCTCGGGGGTCAAATCTGGCTTCTGCACTTACGAGCTGTGTGACCGTGAACAAGTGACTTAAGCTTTCTGGTCCTTTGTTTCTCAGTCCAGAAGAGGGGGGAATTCCAGCACCTGCTGTATCGAGTTCTCCTGAGGCTCAAATGAGATGATCCACTTATGGTGATTAGGCCTTGCTTTTGCAATCCAGTGAGAGAGAGACAGGAAGCAGCCACTTACACACCTACTGTGTGCGGGCTCTCCGTTAAATTCAGCCACCTTTATTGTCAGGTGAGCCTCCTACCAGCCCTGCCCAGCCAAGGCTCCTGGCACAGGGGAGCCAACCAAAATGCAGAAGTCAAACCCTTGGGTCAAGGTCGCACGGCTGGCAAAAGAGAAGTGGGATTTGAACCCAGGACCGACTAACTTCCTTTCTGCACCTGCCGGCACAGGTTGAGATGCGCTTCCTCTGAGCAGGGCTGTAGGCTCATTGGGAAGGAGGCAGCCGTCCAGCTGGGGCGGGTCTGCGTTGTCTACACCCATGCTCCGCGGGGGGTCTCAGCACCCCTCTGTGCCCCTCTGTGCCCGCTCCCACCTCTCTTCCTCTTCTCTGCATCAGGAGGAACAGCTAACCTTCTTCCTCCCTTAGCACCTTCAAGGCATTTTACCCTGATTTCACTTCCGGGGAGAACTTCCGGTGTGTTTCCCAGCCTCCCTCCAGGAGGTCGCCCTCCCTGTCAGCCTCCCCCGTGCAGGCACAGAAATAGTCCCAGCTGTGAGATGAAGGCTCCAGAGTTTAAAATGGCAGCGGGGCACTATTTATACTCCAGCCGGAAGGAGGGCTTTTTGCAGTCGTTTACTTTGTGGTGGTGGCGGCGACAGCTCGCGCTGCAAGCAGCCGGCTCTGGCACTAAGCAGTTCCCGGGGCACGTGGGTGGTGAGGAGCCTTCGGGTGTGGGGGGCGGCCCCAGGCCTGCCCAGAGATGTCTGCTGTCGCCTCCCTGAGCAGCGTGATTGGCCTGGTGAGCCAGAGAAAGAGGTTCAGGGTCTAGAAGTTTCTTCCTAGATGCCTGGAAATTAAAAAAAAAATACACACAAAAACCTCACATATTTTATAAGCCTTGAGAGTTGCACATACCTGAGGGGAAAAGGGTCAAACTAATTTCTGCACAAGTGATGAAAGCAGGGCTTATAAACTGGCTGACCCATTCACATTCCTGTTGAGCTTGGCCCGTGGAGCGTTAGAAAAAAAATGTATCTTTTTTTTGAATTTGTGCCACTATTTAAAAATTGGGACATTTCTCATAAAGTGAGAACTTCTGGCCTTTCTTGAAAAATGAAAGGTGTCTGGCACCTTCGAGATCAGCCCGGGGCCCAGGGGCGTGAGGCCCAGGGCCGTGTCACTCGGTCACGGTCACGTCACTGCCTGGCCCTGGTAACTGGAGCTGGGACCCTTCAAATTACATAAAACCTTCTTTCCGGTCTCCCTCTTCACTCTCCTCAATCCCTGCTCTCCTGGGCTGATGACAGGGTTTCCAAAGAAACAATAGGGCGCCCAGTTAAAGCTGAATTGCAGACAACAAATAATACTGTAGTGAGAGTCCGTCCCCGGCTATTCGCAGTTGGCAGATATCACTGCGGGCCTGTGTCTGTTCACCACACACGCCTTGGTGTAGTCACAGACTCGGCTTGTAGTCTTCATCTCCTGCGGCTCACACTTGCTCTCTGCAGGCATCTCTCGGGGTTTATTAGAGCCAGCTTTGAGGCTGTGGGTTCAAACCTACAGGAGAATCCCGGCCCTGCCACTGGCTAGCTGTGTGTCCTTGAGCAGGTGTCCTCACCTCTCTGAGCCTCAGTTTCCTCGCCTGAACAACGGGGATCTTAAGGGTACCTTTGTTACTTCCTGTTGGCATTTATTTCATGTCTTTTGAAAGCTGCATAGAGTGGACGGCCCACAGTGGCTCTGCCCAGTCCTCAAGCATCAGGAGAGCGGCCAGAGTATCCCTGTTTCAGACGAGGCTAGGAGAGGTTTTGCAAAGGAAAAGTAGGTCTAGAGCAGTGGTTCTCAACCTTGGCTGCACGTTAGAATCACCTGGGAATCTTTTTAAAATCCTGATTTCTGGGCCTCATCCTCCGGAAATTCTGTTTCTTTGTGATGGGGTGGGGCCACAACATTAGTAACAAAGAAAAGGAATTTCCGGAGGATGAGGCCCAGAAATCAGGATTTTAAAAAGATTCCCAGGTGATTCTAATGTGCAGCCAAGGTTGAGAACTACTGGTCTAGAGGGAATTGGGCAGATGACCCTAACATGTAGTTTGCTCTTCTTAAAAATGAAGGGCACTTGTCTCCCTGGAAACCATTTGCTAACCTCCGGGATATTGTCTTCCAGGCGAAGGAGGTGGAGGAGACCATCGAGGGGATGCTCCTGCGGCTGGAGGAGTTCTGCAGCCTGGCCGACATGGTGAGTGCCTCCGGCCGGAGCCGTGGTTTCCGCAGGCCACACGCCAGGCCCTGCCCGAGTTTTCTGGGGAAGCCATTTGGGTGGAGATTCAGCAACCAGCAGGAGTGGGGCCTCGGCCAGCGGTGAGCGGAAAACCCCAGGCAAGCTTGCTCTCCCCCTCCACACCCAGGCTTCCCGGCCGGCCGGCCGGCCATCTTGCTGCGTCCTCCCCGAAGGTTTTATTCCTCAGAGGAGCGGGAGCGGGCCACCAGGTGGCAGTCTCGGCGCCGACGCGAGCCCTTCGGGATGCTGAGACTATATTTAACTTCCCCCGCTCTGCGCAGTTCCCGGGCAGATGTGGAGTCACCAGGAAGCGCCTCAGGCCTGCGAGGCCTGGCAGGGCTGGGCCTGGGCATCGCCTCCTTCCCGAACCCTCTTGCCTCCACCTTTGCCTCCTACCCTAGTTTTTGGGGTCAAATCCCCTCAGTTGGGTGGGGAAGAGCATGGAAGATGGTGCCTGAGGCCCAGAAGACAAGAGCTCCACTCCCTGTTCTCTAGAAATCTCCTCTAGGTCCTGGTGTCCCCAGGCTTGCTGCCAGCCAGGCATGAGGCCCCAAGGAGCCATGATAGAACGTTCTGGAAATTCCCAAGCTTATTAAAGGCAAACCGGCAACCAGAGATGGAGGCGTCTGCCTGGGAGCCGGGAGGGCAGAGCTCCATGCTGCGGCCTGGCCCTGCCTCTCCGGGGAGCCGGAGCCCAGCCGGCCCTGTGGTGTAGACTGTGCCTGGGAAGCCAGGGCTGCAGCGGAGTCTGGGAGCCCAGGGGGATGCAGTACAGCAGCCCCAGATGTTCACTGCACATCTGCTTTGTGCCAGGCACCCCATGAAGTGTGTCTCCTGTGTAACCTCGTCTCCCCTAGAAGCAACCCAACGTGATGGGCACTGTGTCAGCCCCATTCATTCTCCAGACCTCCCTGTGCCCCCTGGACACGGCCGTGAACAGACGGACGGTCCCACGAGGACCTGTGTGTCTCTCTCTCGAGCCGATATTTTAGTTCAGGTGGTGGCTCGGGTGGGAGCTGGGTAATCAGACAGACTTCACATGGCCTCTCAGTCAGTCCTTTCTTCCTCCCCAAATATGACGCCTTCCCCAGCCAGGCCCTGTGTGGGTCCGAGGGGGCAGGGTCCCCGTGCTGTCCCCGAGCCCGGTCCAGTGGGGGAGCCCAGGCCGCTGGGAGGGTGCTGTGTGCTCCAGTCGCTGTCATTCACGGTGGAAATGCTGTCATCGCCGTGTGCTCAGGGGCAGAGGGAGGCTGCAGAGGTTTTGAAAAGAGAAAGCGGGTCCAGAAGGAACGGGCACATATCCTAAGACTTGGTTTCCTTTAAAAAAAAAAAAAGGAGCAGAAGCATTAAATTCTGCCTGGGAAATTGGGAAGCCTTCGTAGAAGACATGGTGATTAATTGGGGGGTTGAAGACGCAACAGAAAGAATTCAACTGCTAAGGAGAGCGGGGGCCAGGCAGGGCACGCAGGCTCAGCGTGGACAGTGAGGGCCCACAGGTGAGGGGCGGATTTGGAAGATGGCGTGGACGGGACCCAGGGACATGGCTGCTGACAAGTCCTAGCCCATCCTCCTGTGAAAGGAGACCCCCTGTGGGTCCAGGACAGCTGGGGCTGGGAGTCAGTGCGGACAGGCCACGCCTGCCTTGAAAACTGCCAAGGCTTATGGGGGAAGTCGTGGTTAGGTGACCAGGAGGCCCAAGGCCACAGGCTGCATCGAGAAGGTCCTCTCTGAGCTCTGCGTCTGGAGCTGCATCCCGGCAAAGATTTAATACTGAGGTCACACACAGGTGACCCACAGGCCAGTCCTGCCTGCAGACATGGTGGATGTTTGGGGGGAAGGAAGTCGCTGCTGTCATTTATAGAATGTCATGCCCCAAATCTGGATTCCTGGCTTCTTAGGAAAACAAAGATCTGGCCCCCGATGGGTGCTGGTTCCCACCCAGCCAGCATCAGCTGGAGCTGCACAGTGGCTGCCCCGTGGCCTGGCCACTGTCCCCCTGCCCCCGTGGGAGCTTCCCTGGCTCCACGGCCACATGCCGGACACCTATCCTCTGCTCGTGTGTTTGAGGTGGGAACGTTTCTCTGTACTCTGGGCCCTGCGGAAGCGGGCAAATACAACCCGACCAAGAGGGCCCCTGTTTCAAGAAATGGGAGAGGGCGTACCTCTGTGGACCTGAAAACTATTTCAGCGTGTTTACGGGCAATGAGCATGTCTGCACCGATAGAACGTGCCTAGTACGCACTCTTGTGGCCCCTGTAGGTGTTTTGAGTTTGCTTTCATTGATGCTCTGTGCTGATGCTGTTTAGATCCGACCAAGAGGGCCCCTGTTTCAAGAAATGGGAGAGGGTGTACTTCTGTAGACCTGAAAACTGTTTCAGCGTGTTTACGGGCAACGAGCATGTCTCAACGGGCCTAGTACGCACTCTTGTGGCCCCTGTAGGCGTTTTGAGTTTGCAGCGCTTTCATTGATGCTCTGTGCTGATGCTGTTTAGATTGGGGGGGTCCTCTGGGCCCCAACAGCTGAGGCTTAGCTTACCTGGTGCCTCTGCCTCCAGGTGTTGTGAGCTCCACGGCACAGGGAGAGGTGTCCCGCTGTCAGCCCTGCCTCAGACCTCCACTCCTCTCTTGATCTAAGCTAGGGAGGCGTGGGGACCTCTGGGGGCAGGTGATGTCACACCATGGACCACGGTCCGGCTCCCTGCCTTGGCTTTTGGAAACACTGATCAAGTTAGAGGTCTGAGAGAAGCCAGGCTCCCTGGTACACAGTCCAGAGAGAAGCGGCTTCATTTCTGATAAAATCAGGCTGTTAGAAATGAGCCCGGCTTCCTGTCTGGCGCATTAACTCCTCTGCCGGCCTGTCCCCGATCACTCTCTGTGACTGGGATTCACTGCCCTGTGCCTGTGGCCTGTTTGACCTTAGAAACAGTGCCGCTCAAGCTCTGAGTCTCCCCACTGTGGGGCCTTGGGCACAGCACGTCACCTCTCTGTACCTTTATTTTCTCCTCTGTGACATGGAGAGAGTGGTCCCGACGATCGACTGCTACATCCAGCGACCCCAGGACGCGGGGCTGTGAAACAGCAGCCCATGGATGACGTGGGCCAAGGCAGGGCACAGAAGGGCGGCTTGTGTGAGCCCCATGGCGCTGCTGCCTGGGGCTGTCCACGGTGGCTCTTCTCGCACTTGTCCATGTCTGGAACGGGAGAGGGGGAGCTGGGACCTGGCAGGCATGCTGGTCCTTTGTGCAGCCCCCCACGTGTTGAGCCTGGGCTGCCTCATGGCATGGCGGTGTGGCCCCCAGAGCAAGCACGCCAGCAGACTGGAAGCGGAAGGTGCCAGGCTCCAGAGGCTTGCATATGGAAATCAACACAGGGCATGTCATTTTGTGTGTGTGTGTGTGTGTGTGTCAAATCAGTCACATAAGTGACCCAGATCCACTGGGAGAGGACACATTGGTAGACCCGCCCCCCCCTCCCCCCTCATCCTGGAAGGACATAAAGAACTTGTAGGCATGTTTAGCCACTAACAGTGTGTCCATTTCCAAAGAGTTCTCATAAGAAATAGGTGAGGCAGGGATGTATGCTTTCCATCCACTAGAGCAGTGGTTCTCAACCTTCCTAATGCCGCGACCCTTTAATACAGTTCCTCATGTTGTGGTGACCCCCAACCATAAGATTATTTTCGTTGCTACTTCATAACTGTAATCTTGCTACTGTTATGAGTCGTAATGTAAATATCTGATACGCAGGATGTATTTTCATTGTTACAAATTGAACATAATTAAAGCATAGTGATTAATCACAAAACAATATGTAATTATATATGTGTTTTCTGATGGTCTTAGGCGACCCCTGTGAAAGGGTCGCTCGACCCCCAAAAGGGGCGCGACCCACAGGTTGAGAACCGCTGCCCTAGGGTGACCCCAATGAAAGGACAGACAATGGCAAGTGTGGAACGGATGGGAATGTAAAAGGGCACAGCCACTTTGGAAAACAGTTTGGCGATTTCTTATAAAGTCAAGCATATACTTACCCTACATTCCAGCGACTCTGACCCTAGATAATTGCCCAGGAGAAATGAAAACAAATGTCCAGGAAGGCTTGGACGCAGTGTGCATAGCAGCTTCGTTCACGACGCCCCGACGTCCAGCGGCAGCAGGAGCGGGAGGATAGATGATCTCATACAGAGCAAAGGGAGGGAGCGAGCGCTACCCACAATAGCACGGTGGCGCTCACAAACGTGATGCTGAGCGAAAGAAGCCAGACACGAGAATACGCTCTATGTGGCTCCCCTAACGTGAAGCTCAGAAAGAGGCAAAACTAATGAATGGTGATGGGAATCGGAGAGTGGTCAGCTTTGGGAGGGTGTCAGGCCCGGGAAGAGGCCTGACGGAGCCTCACGGGGTGGTGGGGTGTTCTGTGGATTGGCGCACGTGGTGGTCACACAGATGTAAACACATGTGCGAGTTGATCGAGCTCTCCACTTGAGGCCTGGGCTCTGTATGTCATATGCGCCCAACTAAAAATAATTGCTTAGCACAGGGCCTGCTGTGTACCAAGTGACCCACACACGGTAGCTACCGAGGTCATTGTCGCCATTATCAAAGCACCAGAAGGTTGTGACCTTGACCAGATGATATAGACACTGGACGGTGGGGCCTTCCGCCTCGGTGCCCTCTGGGGTGGGGGCAGCTGGCCAGGGCCCTCTGAAACCCCCATGGCCTCAGGCCCACCTCCTGGCAGCGAGCAGACTCTGACTTCGCTCACATAATGGAGGAGATTTCCTGTTGGCCTCGGCCCAGCAGTTGCATTTGGCGTTGGTGCGTGTTCTTGGGTCAAGAGCATTTGACTCTCCTTCCTGGGGCCCTGAATCATCCTGGACAGCGGTCCTGGCTCCGTGATAACCCCCACCCCCAGACGTCTGGGCTCCGGAGCTCGGCTCGGGAGGAGGGGGAACAGGC